AAAGAGATCTTGTTTTACAGACAGTAAATGTAAACAGTGACAGTCCTTGCTGTCATAATTCATGCTTCTGTTTTCTAGATCATCGCAGCCCAAGAAGAAATGCTGAAGAAGGAAAGAGAGCTGGAAGAGGCAAGGAAAAAACTGGCTCAGATCCGCCAACAGCAATACAAGTTTCTACCCACAGAGCTAAGAGAAGATGAGGGTTAACCTGCTGAGATTTTCTTTTTCTTTCCTACTCCTTCCCCGCCCCCCCCTTTTTTTTTTTCCTTTTCTTTTAAAGAAATAAGCTAAATGGGGACAGTACAGTGAGAACTGCTCTGACAACATTCTGGTATGCCAAGCACTTACCTAAATAAACTGCCTGTTATAGCTTTGGATGAGCAGAGGGCAATAAACACTTGTTCTTTCTCATCTGGTCAGCTGAGGTGCATGATGATCAAATAATGGTACAGTGTTAGGTTCATCATTCCTGTTCCTTCCTTGACTTATATCTCAGGAGAGAATGTTTCACTTTTTACTAAAGATACTAAGTCAGTATTATTGTCACTTTCCTGATGCTTGAGGTATTTATCGTTCCTTGACTTCTTATAAACCTTCCATCATTTTAATAGGAAAACAGTCAAGAAGTCTTTCATATGATAAATATCACATGAGCTGGTAATTCTTCCCCAACTACCCTTGTAAAAAGACGACCAAGACAGAGAAGGATGTATGTCTGAGTGGAGAAACATGCATGAGTGTGGGTTGAAGAAAATGCCCGTCCTCTTTCAGTGTTATATAGCTGGTTCACCCCAAAACTGGAGGAATTGTCTCTGCACCTGTTTGCACTAGTAGTATTACTCCTCACCTGATACCAGCAAGCTTCTGCTTGTGCAGTATTTAGGTTTACAAAATGTGGCAATAGCCATTCTTTAAAGAGCTCGGAAAACAAAGAAATGGAAACCTTGTCACTGCCTCAATAATAGCAGGTTCATGAAGGAAAATGCTGTTTCAGTTATATACCTCTAATGTGTGACTACTTTTACAGTATTTTACACACATACACATGCTCTAACATTGGACTGAATAATTTGCATTTTGTTTTTTAATTGAAGTTATCTGGTTCGTACTGTGGGATTTCTGTTAGAATGTATGTTAGTTAAAAAAGGGAAATGCCCAGTACAACAAAAGACTATCACAATTCTTGTTATTCTTTTAATAATTTCATTTATAATTATTATGTTTTGAAACCTGTGGGTATTGTAGGAAAAAAACAGTAAGTGATTTACGAGTTGACTTTTCCTGTAATATATTTAAAAAAAAATATGGACTCTGGGGAGTTTGTTTTCATAGTTGGTATTGATAAAAACTCACCAAGGAGTTACAGAGAAGAAATAGCAGCAATCTATCAGCAATCTTTGTCTTCAGCTGCAGAAAGGTATGGTATACTCTCAGTATCTCTGTTGTGACCTAAACAATAGCAATATGGGTAGAGTGAGTAACACATTTTACCCTGTCAAAGAAAAAACACAAATCACAGCAACTTTAACTAGCAAAAGCTAAACTATTTGACTATCTACAGAAACACCATCTCTCTTAACAACAATTTCCAACATGCCTCCAACTCCACTCAAGCCCTCTTAAACAATAATGTCAAATCTGTTTAGGTCAAAGTATGTTGCCACTCCAGTCCTTCCGAAGGCTGTGCTGTCATTTAGATACCTGCCAAGTACCTTTAGCTGAGCTTGTTATGTTATGTGCATACCCACCTAGTTGTCATTGTTGCAGAAATACTTGTCTTGTAGACTCAAAAGTAACCCCCCCGAGTGGTAACTTTACCACTTTAGATAGTGCTAACTCCTCATTTAAGTTACCTGCATGAGATATAATTATCAGGAACTTTGTCACGCTAGTGTTAAATATATAGCAAAAAATGACTAGAGAATTAATAAATATTAAAGTGTACAAAGATTTTTACTGTTAGAGTCTCTTCTCTGGTACTGACATATTTCAGACTCAGTAGAGTTGCTGGAGAATCTACAATCATGAGAGGAAGAATTGGCAAATCCCAAATGCAATCACTGGCATTGACAAATGTACTGTGATGTGTAGGCTTGTGTGCATATGCAAACCCTTACTATCAGAGACATGCAATTCCAAGTTCTGTAATTTTCCACTTCAGCACAATTATTTTATTTTTTTCACTCAACACACTGCAAGCAGTGTCACAGAATCTCATGTCAAGTATTCCTACACCAAAAAAAGGCTTCCTGTAAATTTTTAGGCAGAAGGCTAAATTGGGGTTAATTGCTTAAGACCTAAATAAAGACAGCTGTAGTGATAGGGGTTTTCTGCTGCTGTTGCCAGGTCCAGCTTTGCAGCTTATGGCTTTATCTCTTTATTTACCTGGATAGCCTCACATTCCCATCTCTTTTTAAGAAAGATCTGCAAGACAGATTTGTTACTGCTTCCCTTTCAACCTATGTTTAACCTATTATTTGGTCTCATTAAAGCACGAAGAAAGATGATGCTGTCCTTAGCACTATGCAGGTATTTTATTGTAGGTATAATACTCTTGTAATATATTTTGGGCAGGGTGGTATTTGCCACTTTGAAAGAAGCCAAAAGTCTGGTCAAATGCAACTATGGAAATTGTGTAGCTAGAAAACTTTATCACTATGTAAAAGAAAAAAGCATGCTCAAATTGTGTTCCAGATAAGTTTGTTTAGGAAGTCCATTTTAGCACAAGTATTTTGAGACCTCTCTATTTCTGATTTAATGCCCCCTCTTATTTGACAGAAAGTATGTTCTTTTTTTTCTATGTGCTCCATAGAGGAACCACAGACAGATGAGTAGCTGAGCTGAACAACTGAAGTATTTTTTCACTCTGAGTTTTGGGTCTTCATTTGGGAAATACTAAGATAATACAAGCTCATCTAAAGTCTTTCTATTTCATTTTTTTCTTGCTGTTGTAATTTACAGTACCACTGAAGTCCACACATGAATGTCTGTGGAGTTCGGAACTAGTCCGTGCATTTATTTGGCATGGAGACTTGCAACAGGAAGTGACAAGTTGGAGTAAGGGACGGAAGCTAGTTAATAAGAAGGACAGATGTTTACTTTCTTCTGTTAACCTGTGAAATGGTAAACGAGCTCTGTTGTATCTCACCCTTCTTCATGTGGAATTCACTTCAAGGAATTGTATGCAAATTAAAAGCGAAATGCCTCAAAGTTGTTCGTGTACAAATAGTCTAGTGTTTTTTCCCCAACTATTCAGAAAATAATTTGAATGCTTTATCATTTACTTAAACTTTTCTACATCAGAAGCCTCAAAGTAAGAAAAGTTCTAAAACAAAAATTGAAGCCTAGACTCTTGTTTCTCTGTCCCTTTCCCTTTGATTTTCTGCATCTTTGTTACTTAATTCCTAATGAAGGGAGGAATGCATAATCTAGAAACTTCCTCAACATGTTTAGCTCATGAGCACATTTTTGCTTTTAATCAGTCCAAACTTATAAGATACTCACCCCAGGTATATGGCATGTGCCATTACTACATTTATCTTCCCTACAGTTTTTTTAACCTCTGGTTTCGGTTTTGGTTTGTTTTGTTTTTTTTTTTTACTGCCTCACACTGTGCAAGTTTTGTCCTTATGTACCTGCATCATGATTATCAAAGAGTTTTCTGCCCATAAACTGTCATGATTCCTGAAGCCTGCTTTTCTGTATTCACAGTAGTATACATTAAACATACTGTGGTTGTTCATGTTGATGGAGGAACACATTTCCGTGGCAATGATGCCAAATGCAGAAAGTGTTTGGTCATGCGAGTTACAAGTCTGTTACAAATTGCTGTTTTGCCTGACCGTAGTACCTGCAATGAAGCCTGATAAATTAGTTTGGAGTTAGACAGATGCACAGACTGGATCTGGCTCATGAGCTACTCTTCCTTTAATGTGAACTCTGTCCTTGGGCACAGCATATGGCGCAGTGGAGAATGAGGCAGAGATCCTTGAGCAAATGTCACTAAGTGCGCGCAGCACTGGGTAGAGCCACGCTGGTGTACTTCAACCCAAGAGGCAACATCCCTACTTTCATCACAGTGGTCAGGGGGACGCACTGCCAAATTCACACTGCTTTGGTCAGCGCTGGGCAGAAGGAGGACCTGGTACTGAGGCACAACACAAGCAGCATTCATTTCTTCAGTGCCTGGTAGTTTCAATAATTCTGGCAAAGTATCCCCTATGTCAACTGCCTGGTATCAGATTAGGCCCCTCAATCTGATACTTCCTAGTTGGAGTCAACGAACTCAACAGTGCCGAACTTTTGTGTATTGCTGTTTTCAGCCTGCTGGTTGTGAGCTATAGAGAGGTCTCCAGAAAATATGGTAAAGATTGTGCCAAACTCGGTGTAATCTGCCTAGCTGCTGCATAAAGCAGATACTGCAGAAGAGTTCTGGGCTGCAATGTTTCAACACCAGAATTTAACAAGAGGAGAAGTGATCTAAGCTAGACGTGGCTCAGTTTAAGGGGCAAGCTGAAGCAACCCTGTGTCCTAGAGTGTGGAAATGCTATAACCTTGATAGTTCATATCCAAAAACATGATTCATTTTGCCTAAAGATTATTATTTGTCATTTATTGAGCTACAAATAAGCACCATTTTGTCACTTTTTTAACTTTTTAAAAATAATAAAGCAGTAGAGACTTCTGTTTTCTCTCAAATTAGTACACTTTGTTGCAGTTGAAGAACCTTCTGTTCAAGACAGTTTTGTGATTATATACTGGAGTTTCTGGGGGGGTTGAACTCTCACTTTAATATCTTCCCTTCCTGCTAAAGTTTTAACCCCAAGAAAGGCACAAAGGGGTTTGTAGTCATGCTGCCACACCATTACATGTAATATTTATCTTGCCACAAAAATAAGTAAATAATATATTTTATTTTTGTCTTCACCAACAATAAGCCCTGGAAGGAAATCCTCTTTTTTCTGCGTTTGTGACTTGCGTTGCACTGGTGGTCGTGCAAAGGATCATTTTGCTCCTTAAGCAAAATAAAGCAGAAATTGTATCTATCTGCAAGGCTGGGAAAAGGCAGAATTCCCAGGTGACAGAGGAAAATGTTCTATTTAAAGCTCTGCTGCTTCATAGACAAGCTGTGAATGCTTACTTTGTGATATATGTCAGTGACCTTTCAATATCATTAAAATAAAGCACATGTTAACCACACAAATACA